ATTCTGACTTCCTCATCACCATGTGTTGAGGATTTCATCACAAGCTAGATGTTGCTTCTAAACTCATGCTCCATAAATGCAAATACATGCTGAGTTGGATGGTTTTGTGATGCTTAACATATGTTAAATAACTATTAGTTTGGATTTCTTTTGCATTTGATATATCATGTTATTTCTTTGCAGCATCAGGAAGCTCAAGAGTTTCCAGCAAAACTAGTCGCTCTTCAGTTCCTTCAAGCTTAAGCATCCCATCTTTCAGTGATACAAGCAGTACAGGATGTCTTCCGACACCAAGGACTGAAGGAGAAATATTGTCGTCCCCTAATTTGAAACCTTTCTCATTCGGTGAGTTGAAGAGTGCCACCAGAAACTTTCGTCCTGACAGTCTTCTTGGTGAAGGTGGTTTTGGTTATGTTTTTAAAGGGTGGCTTGACGAGAACACGTTAGCTGCTACAAAGCCTGGATCGGGGATGGTTGTTGCTGTCAAGAAGCTTAAACCTGAAGGTTTTCAAGGTCACAAAGAGTGGTTGGTAGGTTTCATTTTTGCTTTATCTCTTTGTGTGAATGCCCTGTTGGCTGATAGTCAGCTCATTACCTGATTTCAGACTGAAGTTGATTATCTTGGCCAACTTCATCATCCAAACCTGGTTAAGTTGATTGGCTATTGCTCAGAGGGTGAAAACCGACTTTTGGTCTATGAGTTCATGCCTAAAGGAAGTTTAGAGAATCATCTTTTTAGAAGTAAGTATTACATTCTATGAACATTTTCAAAGAATCATCTATTTATAAGTGTTGTATCCATGAATTGATAAGGAGGATTTCTGGAATCCGATTGCATTGTATTATATGTTTTTCTCTTGAAATTAATTCAACCTCAAATAGTCACCGTTAATCTATACAAAGTTGCCAGACTAAAATTATTGTCAGTCCTAATGAAGGTTTCCCATGCAGTTTCGGTTCTTAGATAACCAATATAACAAGAGACCTCTAGTTACCTTTGATTGTAATCATGCTACGTCATGTTTTACAGGAGGGCCACAACCACTTTCTTGGGCAGTGAGGCTTAAGGTCGCCATAGGTGCTGCTAGAGGACTCTCTTTCCTTCATGATTTAAAATCCCAAGTCATATATCGTGATTTTAAAGCTTCTAATATATTACTAGACGGGGTATGCTAAGAAAGAAAAACAATTGATCCGTGCCTTCAATATTATGTTTAAAATTGTGTTATAGATTTTATACATGTCTCTGATGGTAGCAACCGTTTGGATGCAGGAGTTCAATGCAAAACTTTCTGATTTTGGGTTGGCCAAGGCAGGGCCTACTGGTGATAGGACTCATGTGTCAACTCAGGTCATGGGCACTCACGGCTATGCAGCACCTGAATATATTGCTACAGGTATGAGGTTCAGTGAAATCCCATAATACGACTTGCTGTTTCATCAGACTTCTCATAAGTTCGTAGTATCTTAATTGACCACGCGAAATATTTGTTGCTGAAAAGAAACTGTGAAGGTATCTAAGAGAGCAAGCAGCAGCATTTGTCTGTTTGTTGTCTATTTGAAGTGCCCTGGGTCCAAAACTAGGAATACTTGGCTTGCTCTAAAAGAAAAGAAAAAAGTTGGCACTAGTAGAATATCTTTGAATGAGATGGTTCCTAATGAAGCTTTGCATATTATAACTTGTCAGAAGTCGCATGTAATGAAGCTTCCGTTGTTGAACAGGTCGATTGACAGCTAAGAGTGATGTATACAGCTTCGGAGTTGTGCTGCTTGAACTATTGTCTGGACGACGTGCAGTGGATAACACAAAAGTTGGTGTGGAACAGAATCTAGTAGACTGGGCAAAACCTTATTTGGGTGACAGAAGAAAATTGTATCGGATTATGGACACTAGGTTGGGGGGTCAGTACCCCCAGAAAAGCGCTTATACAGCCGCTACCCTTGCTTTTCAATGTCTAAGTGACGAAGCCAAACTCAGGCCTAAAATGTCAGAAGTTTTGGCTGCATTGGAGCAGCTCGAAGCCCCCAAAACTGCCTCCAAATACACTCAATCAGATCAGCAATCAATTCCACTTCCTGTTCAGAAATCTCCAACGAGACAGCATCGTTCACCAATGCATCTAACTCCAACTGCATCTCCATTACCATCTCACTAACAATCCCCGCGAGCACATTGATTCCATCTGTAAATTTCCAAAGCATATGTACATAATTTTGTTGCTTGTAAAATGTAATTTTCCACCGTGTCTTTTTTTATGCAATTTTGCATTTCATGTGACAAATTAGCAACGCCTTTGTTTCACAATATTGGTTTCTCATTGTGATAGTCAGCTTCTCTCATTGGTGTAGTACCTTCACTTTCAGTGATGCGTATCAATATTAACCTTATTCCATGAACTTATCCAGGTGTCTAAGCTTGATGCATTACGTTAATCATACTGTAAAAATATGAAGACAATTCTTAGCTTGCATATGTGATCGTGAGTTAGGATAATGTTCATGAAACTAACTAATCGTAATTAGCACAAAATTATGTGTCATTTCCCGTTGAGGAATATGACCTAAAGAAACTTGCAGATAATTGAACTCTCACTTGGTAACCTATTGTAATAAGTGTGCCCTTCTATGGTACTTGTATAGTCCAAGTTTTTTGAGATTGCCGAGTGACATGTCTTGCTGCAGTTGCTCTACTTGCAAGTACTCTTAAAATAGATAGTTGAACTCTCACTTGGAAACGTACAGTATTCTCTGGCAAGTACACATTACGATAAGAAACATACGAATATTACAATTTCACGGGGCATTTGATCGTAAAAACTGATGTCTTCAGATTGCCGAGTGACATGTCTTGCTAGCTCGACTTGCTGGTACACATACTACAATAAAGAAAGTTGAACTCACACTCCGAAACTTGAACGGTATTTGATGCCTGCCAAGCAAAGCAGTGTCAACTACCTCCCAGAGTTCCCCCAAACACTTCAGTGAAGGGTTCTTAAGATATCCCCAGTGAAGTGATGAGGGAAACTCCAGGGAACACCTGACATTCCCTTTCTCATGAACAGTTTCTTGGTACACTTATACACGGAGGGTTCGGTGTATAAATAGGCAAGGATTCATGTGAGGCAAAAGATGGGAAAGATTAATGTAGACGCAATTACCGGTTAGATGAATCCTAAGGGAAAGATTTTGAGGCCCAGAGTTGCATATCATATACTTCTATTCTCAATCAAGCATTTTTTTTATCCCGCATAGAATCTAAGAAGCTGTTAACTGAAATCTAGTATTCACAATGAACCTATTTAATTAACGTCTTGTTAAAAACATACAACTCTTATTTGAACATAGCTTTGGACTATTAACGGCAGATGCTATCAAGGAAAGGAGAGGGGAGAGCTGAGTCCACTTAGCTCAAGAATATTCTCTATCTTACCATCTCTAATCCCCCAAACGCCATAATCCCGACTACATTCAGTTTGAACAACACAAGTGGATTTTGTTTCAAATCCAATGCCGGTCCAATCGGGTGAAGGGTCACAAATACTTCGGCGCACGCACATACAGGGACTTCACTAATAAAAAGGTAGGTTTGCTTTCTATTGCCTAAGGAATATAGAGTCAGGTGTCCTCTGGAGTTCCCTTGACCACTTCACTGGGTTCTGCTCTTCTTGATGACCCTACTGAAGTGTCTGGGGGAACTCTGGGTGGCACCTGACATTGATTAGTCATGGATAAGCAGCACTACCACCGTCCAAAGAGCCTCTGCCTTGTTTAACTTCACATCTTCCATACACTTTGAAAGATATGGGACGTGGATCAATCACCATTTTTCTCAGGTGCCGTTTCATTGTTCTGCAGATAGACTGCAATCTCAGTTTTACATTATTCTATAATGAGGGAAGCAGCTAGGAGGACGACGTTTTGTTTCTGTTTCTTCGTCTATATGATATTATGATCACAGCCGTCTAGCTGCGGTTATGCTCATCAACAGTTATGCACTGAAGGATCTCACAAACGTCAAACCAAACTAGGTTGATTAACCGACTAAATTCGATCGACATGTCATATTGAATCGGTTTTATATATTCAAATAAATTAGTTCGATTATAAATTAAATCAATAATTTAAATTATTTGCTCCCCTCTAGCTTTTAAGGCTGCGATGTTTTGGAATACAATGTTGAATTATGAATGGTTAAGTTATTTATCTTTAAAATAAATAATTTTTAAAAATAAGTAGATTAAAAATACAATTTTATTAATTTTAAAATTAATTAAGTTCTAAAATATAAATAAACTAATTTCTTTTTTTTTATAAAAAAAAACCCTGATTTAATTTCAATAATTTTATAACTATCATAATTTAAAATATAATTAAACTTTCATCATTAGGCAACTTCTTATCATCATTAGGCGAAAGGATCAAAGTATTATTTTATATTTCCTTCACAAATCAAACCCTACTTCCCAGATAAGCAAAAGATAACATACAAAAATAGAAATGTTTGCTATATCAACCAACACATCAAATTAGTAAACTTGCATATGAAAAACGACAAATTTAAAAGAATACAAAATGAAAAGGGTATAATATATAGTTGGAAATAAACAATAAAATAATGAAAAAGATTTGGGGTTTAATTCATTCAAGGTATACCAAACTCAAAGGCAGATATAGAACCTTTAATCTTTGAATAATACAAACTTTCAAAAAAGCATAGCTTTTGCTGCAAAAAAATCAGTAACTCTCCATGAATTAGTAAAAGACAAGGACACTATTTGCACATTCAGGACATCACCTAATCTGATAATACCCACGATTTGAACAAAACCAGCAGCTTTTGAACAAATTAGGACAGATATAGAGATAACACAAAACCAGAAGGAAAAGAAAGGCGACTGTCAACTCTGATCTACAAGACAAAGAGTCATGTTATAATGTGTCTAAAGAACAATTAGTGGATAAAATTAAGAGTGAAAAAAGTAAACTCCCTTCAATTGTTATCCTCACAAGTCATATCCTCTTTCATTAATATAGGATCAAGGAATAAGAAGGAAAGGAACAGCAACAAGAACACCCAACTAAAGCTCGTTGATTTCTATAAAATTCTGCAGTTAAATTAAGATGCAGAAGAAGGCCCATTGTTAGTAACATGAAGCTGAATACAATACTCATTGTTGTGGGTGTCAACATTGGAATCTAAGCTATTTCCAGCATTGCCATTGCCAGTTCCATTATCATCTTCATTGTTGTTGCTATGGAGATTGAGATTACCGACTGTTAATATGTCTTTCTTGCCAAAAGTGTTCTTGTTGTTGTGCATCCAGACCTTGAGAACTCCTCTCTCGACTCCTACTTCATTGCAGAACTCTTTTAGCAGCTTTTCTTCTGATCCCCTCGGCATCCTCCAACCCACCCTGTCTGCAAAAGCATGCATCTTTTCTTTCTGTTCCTTGCTGAACTTTGTCCTTGACCTCTTTTTCCTACTCGTGTTGCTGCTGCTGTTGTTTTTGTCTGTCACTCCGACCCTGGGATTAGAGTGGTTGTACTCATCCAACGGCCCCGTGTAGCCGGTGCTCAAGGCCAGCAGCATGTGGGGTGCAGAAGAGTAGTAAGAGTAGGGGACAGGAGAGGGTGGGGTATGGGTTGGGCTAGGACTGGTGCTGTTCGTTGGGCTTGGACTTGAGCTAGGATGATCATTTGGCGGTGGCGGTGGCAGGTGGCGGATGAAAGCAGGACCGTCATAAGGGTCACGGCGGTGGAAGTTGCGGTGGCAACCACAGGCTGCACATTTGAGGTCAGTAGGACTAGGCATGAACTCACCGCAACCATCAAGGGCATGTCCACCCAAGCTAGCAGCATGGTTTTTGAGGCACTCTCTGTAGGAAACAACCATTGGGTGGTGGCGCTGAGGAACGAGGAGCGATAAAGACTTGGTCTTGGCGTCGTCGTTGGTGGGGTGTGTCTCGGATGAAGACTCGGATTGTGCGCATGGGGTGGTTTTAGCGTCGATTAGCTCCATTTTTCTATAACAAAAGGTGATAGCTTTGGTGAAAAGGGGCCTTTTAGTGGGGTTAGGGGTTTTTTTTTTTTGGCAGAAGCTCAAGAGAATTTCCTTTTTGTTTGTTGGTCTAAAAGTGGTGAATATAGGAAGAAAAAGGGTGGTGGGTGGTTTAAGAGAGCTGTGATTGTGATCTAATTATGATGATGGATTGTTATAATGATAAGTTATTGCACTCTCACCCGAAACTAAGCACTGTTTAAACAAATATCTATCCATTCAAAAATTTATACATTCAATCCTCATTATGTACGCATTCTATAAAAGTAGTCATAATTTAAAATTAATTAAATTAATTAAATAAATTTAATACTCCAATTATATGAAGACACGAGGAATGATATTATTAGAGGGTTTTTTCTTAATTTAATTAATATTTAATTTAAAGATTTCATTCCTCCAATCAGTTAATCATTGTCCTTTTTCATTTCAATCATCATTTTTTAATTATTGTCAATCAAACTACTCAACTATTTAAATATATTCAATCAAGCCACTAGACGTTAACAGTTAATGAAAGTGTTGATGCCACTAAACGTCAAACTATTTACTTTTAGGCACTACATTTTTCGTCCGTCACCGACAATGAATCGCCATCAGGGAAATATCAATATCAAAATGTTCTTATTTCACTCATCTTTCTTCTCATGTGATTGGTTTTTTCATGAAACTCACTCAAAATCGACGAGGTTAAACAAAAAATCCATCATTTTTAGGAGTTTTGGGGCTTTCTTGGATTTGAGGCTTTGGATGTTTGTTCATAAATTTGAATGTTTGAATCATTTTTTTGTGAAGATAAACAACATACCAAAAGCACAATCAGATGGTCATTTGAGGAGATTGAAGTATTAGTACATCAAATCTTTATATGGGTTTTTATCGATTTTGAGTGGATTACATGAAAAATCAATTCGTTGAGAAGAAATATGAGTGAAATGTGAATATTTTGATATCGATCATATCACAAAAAGTGATCGGTGACGGGCGGCTATTAGCTTCCAACGATGGTCGAAAAAGTTTAATGCCTAAAAATGAATGTTTTTAAAGTTTAGTTGCAAAATCGATACACTTCTAAAGTTCAGTGTCTAAAATGACATTGTTTTAAGCATCAATAACTGCGTCAAAAAGATGTTTTATCCACATTATCATAGTAACAGAGATATCCATCCACGTTATTGTATCGTTAAAATTTAAAAGTTCAATGGTATAATTAAAGACAAAATCAAAGTTCAATGTTATAATTGAATTAAGTGAAAGTGATATAAATGAAACATCATCTAAAGTTTGGTTGTATGCGATGTAGGTCATCCTTTTATTCATGGATAGAATCTCCTTAATTATAAAAATAGGGAAAATTACATTGTTAGTCACCCTACTATTACGGTTTTCTACTTTTACAATCAAACTATTTTGTTCCTCTAATTTGGTCACTAACATTACATTTTTTCCTTATTTTGATCATTGATCGTTAAACTTATGTTAATACTTAACGGAGATGATGATGTGACATGGTATAATAATAGTTTTGTTCCTTAACAATTATACATTCCATTAATTTGATCATGATTAAAAAATAAATCAATAATTTAGCTTGGTGCAATGGTAAAGTGTTGACTTATCAACCAAAATTTAACCTAAATATTATTTTTACCAATCATCTAACACTTATTTAGCTTGATACGATGGTCTTATCCTAAATTCTAAGTTTAATCCACTGCAAACTCAATCATATTTTCCTTAAAAAACAGTGTATCAACCACAAGTTAACCTAATTTTTTAACCATGGAACAATTGATTAGCTTGATACAATGGTTAATGTGTTGCTAAAATTAGGTCTTATGTTCAATCCCCTCTAAATCTATGTGGAGTTTATTTTTCACCAATACGATAATAACATGCGTTAAATTTATTAAATTATTTATGAGTTAGGATCTAATTGATCAAATTTATAAATCTTAGGAACTAAAATTATCGTTATACCATATTGTAATATTATATCTATTATTGGCCAATGATCAAAACAGGAAAAATATAAGTGTTGGAGAGAAAATCCATCTAATTAAACACCCAAATGCACCATAACAACAGAAATTGACCCCTACCAACTTTCTTACTTGATAATTCAGGAACTTAATAAAGCAGTTTGAAATCCACATTTATTATCAATTTAATATTATTTTTAATAACAATTTTTATATTAATTTTAAATAAAAAAATTAATTAGTAAGTGGGAGTTGAAGTCAAACCGGACTGATCCGATGTCAATTTTAAATTATTCAAGCCTAACTAGATTAAATCTATTGGTTGGGACAGCAGGTTTAGTTGATGGTTAGATCTAGTAATTTATGCATTTATTTATAATTAGTCCCTATACTTCTACCTATGTGAAATTTAGTCTCTTTACTTTCAATTTTAAGAATTTAGCTTCTCTAATCTCTTGATTTAGTAATTAAACTCCAAATAATAATATGGTAAATCGGATATGTAACATTTTAGAATATTCTATTGATTTAAAGCAGTGTAGAAGTCGTGAAAATACAAAAGAAATGCGAGGATAGATAGGGTATCAAGTAAGTAATTTACCCTTAAAAAAAAGCTTAACCATGAATCATCTCGTCTACTTCCACATGTTAATTGAAAAGCAAAAGCCAGGCAATGCCATGTTTTTATTATTATAATAATTGTTATTAATAAAGCTGTTCCAATTGTTTTTAGTGACAAATTAGTCTTTAGCAGAACATGCGTGTATTGTGTAATGTTTTTATCCTTTCCCCAATAATAGCAGGCTGCTTGTTTCTCCCATTCATTCATACTTATTAATGAATGTGTTTTTGTTTGAATTTCAGGCTTCACATTCATATTTCTTTTATAATTATTAATATCTGACTAATTAAAACGAAATTTTGGGATCAAATTAAATTTTTTGGCTTTTCCCCCCAAAATATGTTCCTTTGTGTGTGAAGATAATACTTTTAACACATAAAAATGCATTTGAAGGTAATAAAATTCTTGAGATTATGATTTCATGATATGATTTGATTAATTAAACTAATTCATGATGATTATAAATGGCATGTTGATAGAATAAAAAGAAATTCATGAACCAAGACTAGACAACCACATAGATTAAAGGATAAGGACAACTAGGGTAAGAGAGGGATGGTTTGGTCGGGTCCTTTCCTAATGGTCTGCTTGTCTTTTTATGTTCTGCAGCTCACCATAATCCCTGTTCTTCAATCATGCCTTTCTATCTAGAATCCAAGAAACAAATCTAATGCCATGATTCATTAAAGATTAGTAGAGTAGAGAGGCTTCAAAGATCAAATCTCTCAACTTGTACAACTTCGACATGATCGCACTAATTGCTTCCCCTAAGCCTCGGAGGGTACGAGTCTTAATCACGTTCACGGCACGAAATATGACAAGACTTTAGTTCTAAATATGAATTCGAAGATTAAACAATGTCTTAATGACAATCATGTCAGCTTCTACGGTTGGGTTGAAATAGTAATCACCTTGAGTTAACTTACTCGGTGAATGTGTCCTGCTTCGATAAATTTCCTTTAAAATACTGGAATTTGATTGACTCAATAACTTCAACAGTTTGAGGTCAAGTTTAACTTGAGAGTAATCGGATTAATTCGAATCAAGTTAACCCTTTTTCTCCCTGAAGCAGCACCTGCAACTGGTGTTTATCAGAACAACCAACAAGAGGATTATTGTCCCAGTGATGGGGCATTTGTTAAAATGTCCCAACTGAGGGGGGTTGGTTTTAAGGACTCAAAGTGCCGAAATTCAATGCCCATGACAGCAAGTAGAACTAGGAGAAGTGGCCTTTAATGTCCTTGCCGAAACTCTTCGCGTTGTATCAATCATCACCACTCTTTTTCAATCTACAGAACCAGATTCCATGATGGTCCACAGCCACTTATCTTTTTAAGTGATTGGGACCCCCCACAAAGACCCCTTTTTTGTATTATTTGTACTTATCATCACAATTTACTAAGTCTTTTATTTTGGGGGTTTTGGGTGGTTCATCACCATCCACCTAATTGCATTTATGTTCTTCTTCCAAATATTTACATGCAAACATATGTATTAGGTTATTAAAAGAGTTATATATCTAATAGAACATTAGTTGGTTAACTATTTTAATAATACTATTCAATTAAATTAAGGGTAAAGTACACAAATGATCCCTTGATTATAGAGTATTCTTTTATTGAGTCATCCAACTATTAAAAGTTACAATATGATCCCCTGACTATAGGAAGTTGCTTGTTTAAGTTTCCCGACTATTAAAAGTTACAAAATGACTACCCAATTATTTATTGTGTTCCAAACTCGTCCTTTTCCGTTAAAAAATATGGTAGTTTAAGCTGAACATTAAGCTGCTAACTATGATATGATAATCGTTTGAGATTCTGGGTTCATATCTCAATCAGCAGATTAACGTCAAATTCAAAATGCCATCAATTTTTTAACAAAAAAGGACGAGTTTAGGACATAATGAATAGTCAACTTACCATTTTGTAACTTTTAATTGTCAAATGACTCGATGAAACACCACCCTATAGTCAGAGGACCATATATATACTTTACCCTTAAATTAATATTAGTTCATGTTCTAATAATATTTAAAAATATCACAGATAATCCTTTGGTTTTTTTTTTTAAATATTGCTTTAACATCTTTTAAATAAGACTATATTACAATATTTTCAATTGCTAACATATGAGTTTTTCACTTGTTCCTTTTTGTGGGTATCTTTATTAAATCAAAATTGAGATTGGAGTTCATCCTACTAGGTTTTGGGTATCGGAACTTAGTTACCACCTCTGCACACCACTATGCCCGTTGATCACAAGTCATTCAATGGCTAGAGCTTAAGTGCACAGTGACAAGATGATGTGCAAAATGAAGCCAAATTTTATAACAACGCATTAAAACAGGAAATGGTAAAGCTCCAAATCATTCTCGACAATCTCTTTGGGGATAACAAAAAAAATGAAAGGAAATAAATTAATGGCTTTTACACAGGTGCATTGATAGGGGGATCTGTCCTCGTTTGCTCGTAAATTTCCAACGTAATATAATGTTAGTGCAGGACTTCATAGTACTTCCTATAAGTTAAACGTTTTCCAGGT